ACGCGTGCCCAAAACATCGTAGTTGTGACTTCTCAAACTGTAGAAGAGGTAGCTCCAGACTGAGGCTATGTCCTCTATCTGTTCTCCTGTGCCGCATTTAACATTTAACATATTTAAATAAAGCGCCGAATTGCTTTTCAAAAGATTCATAGTTTAATTCCGAAAAATTTTCAGTTTTTGTACTGAGGTTGGTTATTGATTTTGGATGGGTAGCATCCTGGACAGTCTCTGATCAATACTCTGTCTGGAAAACATGGCGGAACATTCGTCAAAAAGATGATATCTGCGTTGTTTTCTCTGCATGAACTTTTGTTGAACGACCAGCGCGCATCAGTCGGTATACTATCGGCGATATAAGCTTCGAGTCGACCTTTTTTCCAGTTCCTGAAACGAGAGATTTTAAAATCAGCTGATAGTGATTATCTGTACCTGTCATCAACGAGACGATTATCCCAGTCACCAGACAAACGAGGACGGCGAACAAGCTGTAGTATTGGTAGGAAATCCGATAAAAGTCTGTGAGACCGCCCCTGAAAACGGCAGAGAAATCCATCAGTTTATACATGTTATAAATATACATAAAAAATACTGAAACCAGTACTACATAACTGAAACTACTGTTGTTTAACTAAATTAAACACGACTAAAAGTATCAATATTTTTGTGACTACTCTTTTGCTTCTGCACTTTACCACTTACTCTTGTGTTTGCATATTGTTTTAAATGAAATCAGTCACTCGCGTATGATGGCATTAAAGCATCTATGCAAATACACAGTGACTCGTGATACTGATTATGTTACCTGTCAATTGGTAGTTCATGCATACCGGTATGAAGTGAAACTACTCTACCGTATCGGTATAGACCGGTAATTTGTGTATAATTTCGCATTACTGCCTAAACCTCAACCTACATCAAAGACGCGGAGTAGACTAAAACATTCAGGAGAATATGCTGAATATAATAACATGGTAATAATGCTGAATACCTCGTAATAATAATTACAGGCTTGGACTGAACCGCAGATCAGTTTTAATCCATACAGGCACAGACGGGTATAACAATGATACATGACAGATACGTTGTCGCCGTGACGTCTAAAAGCCGTTCTGCCCCTGAGTGAAAACCCTGATACGTAAATTACGAAAAATGTACACGTTTTGTGACGATCTCATTACTCTGACATAAAAGTTGATGTTTCTCATAATGCTGAGTAAGAATATTTGACATCTGTGCGATAAATATTAACTCATATGCTTATCAACTGATACCTCGCATTCTAAAACCGGTTCACTCGAAATCAACTTCTTCTGATCCGCTTTTAAAAGCGTTTCCAGTGCCGTGCAGGCTTTCGATCCGAATCTAATAAATGAGTTTGTGTTTCCCGTCTATTTCGAAGCCCTGTGTGCTGGTTTGGTACTATATTGGCCACCTTGCTGGACATTTTTTGTCGTTCAATCGTTAGCGATGACCACACAAACTTAAACGTATTTTTTGCAGCCAATCAGTGACGAGGTTGAATATACCAATGTCCTTCATACAGTACCATTTGGCATTAAACCGTACCACGTTAGTCTTAATGCCGATCCTAAAATGCTCATTTTTGTCGGTTCTAGTTTTGCATTATCAGTTTCTTCAAATGCTGATTTCTACGGACCATGGACCTAGATATTCAGATTTTAGACTCCGCAGCTTTATGCGATTACCGACGTTTTTGGCCCTTCAGCGCTTGCTTTACTTGTTGCTTATAAATGCCAGCACACTTCTTAACATCGTTTGTCGCTGGTGGGTCGGCCACCAAGATAATCCTAAAGTCCAAAGGATCCGATACTTTTCCACCACTTCATTTATGCCTAAGATGAGATAGCCATTTGGCTGGTTTCTGCTCATTTCTGTCGAAAACTATAGCACCATCAAATGGAATCGACCCGCAGTCTGAAGGAGCAATCTGTCGATTTGGCGACTAGGAAAGCATGTTCAGTAGGCATTTTATATATTTTTTATGTCCCAATCACTTATTAACATTCCTTTTGATCTTGTTATGAACCAGTACGCAATCTGTCAGTCTATGTGCCATCTGTTTCTCTTCTACCGTACTGCATCCTTGCATGCAATCCCTTACTTCGAACGTTGCTCCCTGTTTGCGGTGGTGAGGCTGGAGCCGGATTTGTGAAGAGCACTGTAATGAAATTAAACAATAAACAGTGTAGAGGCTGAATGCAATTTTGGGTATTTTCTAACCGTGATGTTCATGTATATTCATACAATAGATATTAGCAATGCAAAGCCATGAACCTGGGGTGAGCTTGAAAAATGTTTACTTTTGTTAGCTGACGAACTGAATCATACACGTTTAAAGGTGCATTTTTATACTAATTAAAAATTCCTTGGTCAATCATTTAGGATTTTGCACTTACTGCGACATGTTGTTCCCTGGGATCACCAAACCATAGTCGTCAGGTAAGGGATACAAATAAGGTGAATCAGACCAAACATCTGTGCTAATGTTTCCTGTTGCATTGCACCCGTCGATCGTTCGCGGCAAAGGAACAGATTTCATTCCAGTGAACAGTGCTCCGAATCCCAGCCATGTAGTGAGGGCAAGGCTGAGTAGCTGGCCACTGATCGCGCCCTTGAATGTTAATCAAAACTGCATCTTCAAAGTACATGCAAATTATATCAAGTTGCCAGCAGATATATTAAATGGAAAAAGTGCAAAGTGTAGCAAATTAATTGCTTATCAGCGGAGTTTGTTTTCACCGCACAAAAATAATATTCATAAAGAAACATCGAATTGGGTCCGAAAGCTCTGCTGATAATTGATTAATATTCGCCTTGAATTTTTTTGCCAGTCTATGAAGTATCTTTTAATAGCTTATTAATGTTATTTTTCATATTTAATTGCTAGTATGCTATGCACACAGACAACCCCACATACAGATACATGCAGACTTACGCAAATTCGACTTGGGTAAATTTAAACTTGTCTAGATTACCCTGAAAGTGCTAGGTAAAAATTGAAATTATAAAGCTTCTACGTGACGCGCCTACGTGATCCAAGAGGATTTTTTGGTACCACGCTTTTTTTCGAGAACTGCTTTATTAATTGTTTCGCGATTAAGGTTGAGATACTGCCAAGAACCTGACATCCTTTCAAAATTTTGTTTATTGTTGATAATGCGTATTTGAATGATTGTCATCCAAGCATAAAATTAATCTTCTTTACGACCAACACTCCTTCGCTCGATCCAGGGGCAATTGCCAACTTCAAAGCTTATTGGCTTATTGTTTACGTAAGGCATTTGCGCCGGATTGGCGGCTATGAACAGGGATCCTGATTTAACAATCGCATAATTTTGAAAATCCTGATATTTTTCAAGCTATACAAAAAAACCTGAATTGGACTTTTAAAACAATACTCTGCAGCTCGTGCGTGGCTTTGGCAAGGGTAAATCTGTTGATGACTTGACTGACAAAATTCTTAAGCTTGCTGAATGGCTAAAATCAGTAGTTAATAAACATGGCATCAAAGTACTGATTGACTCACACAACGATAAATTATCAATTAAAGATAATCGGAAGGAGAAATCCGAAAGTGGTGCTTCAGAACCGCAAGCAACCAGAACGTTCCATGATAAAAAATGACAATCATGTTTTGCGAGATATTAGTGGGAATGGCCGAATTGAAGAGGGTGGATTTTAATGCCTTATAGTTCTTAAAATTTCATCAAGAAATAGATGGCAATTTAGCATTTTATCGAATGGTTTTTGAAAGGAGAAAAGTAGCTAATGCTCTGTTATTTCTTAATAATTTCATCAGGAAAGTCGAACGGCAAAATCACATATATTACCGTTTCTATTTTCTCACACAATGTATACAATGCTCCATTAATTTGCGTTAATATACTGATAATACACATTCAATTTTCATCTTCATCAATATTGAAAATGCGTACTAAATATTTGAACCTAATTTGCCTGTACTGTAAATGAAACTTCCATAAATAACCTTTAAGACGCGCTAATGAACTACTGAATGACCGTACTGTAAACACGTCAAGAATGTGACTAATGGGTTAGGGTAGGTTAAGTCTGGCACGGTGCAAAATTGTTTTGAATTAAAGTTTACGGAATGTACCTCTTACGCAAATGGGGGTGTGTGACTGTATATAATATTTCCGTGGCGGTCCCCTTAATCTTTGTGCATGACGATCCGTTGATACGCAGAAGATTCTGGCTGATAGCAACCAAAGGCTCGCCAGCTGTTCCAGTGCGTCGGCGTTCAAACGTCGCATTTAGATAGAGGCTCTGAGTCGAAGCTGATTCGCCTCACATGTCGTCTAACATCGATTGACCAACTGACCAAGAACAGCTAGCAACCATGCGTGCCTAGCACCTGGTTGGCCAACTGGCAAGTGATCAGATAAATACCGTCTAATCCTGCGAATTGATTGGCTCATTGACAGTGACGAACACTATGAAAGGGGCCATCTCTGAGTGCTCATATGTTGATCACAGTATATCTAACCGCGCCCGTGTACTTTTGAACTTGACTCTTTTGGCATGGAGGTGCACCCCAGCGTCACTCTTCCAATGTCCTGCGGGAAAGTCATTAATAGTGGGATTCTCCTACTCCTTTGTATTCTTGATTCACCTTAGGGGAAATTATGTACCATGACTCGATTTGAAATTAATATAATAACTAAGCTCCAACGTAAATCCTCTACGACTAAATTTCAGAGCGTATTGTGGTGTCTCCTGTTCCCAATGCGTAGGGGGGGGCGCATTTTAGGAGGCCACTGTTCCGTATTATTTAACACCTGTAATCCTGTGTACATCATATCATTTTGCTCGCTAAACCAATCTTTTGCACATCTTGCACATGAACAATAATTGAATAGAATAAACATCGAAATATTGACAAGTTAACAGTCCGGTGTTAACTGTCGCATAACTAAAAGTTTTGCTCCAGCATTAAATTGGCAACACCGACGTAAAACTTACAACGTGTTGACTACTTTTAAACTACTTACATATTTGTTCGCGAAAGGAAAAAACATTCCTAGGAGGAAGACTCCAAGAAGAGGACCGCCGGCGATACCAAAGATGCTCAGGGCAATCTAAGGATTAAAGATTTATAGACAGTGACACCGTGCCCTGAAGTTTTAAGGCATGCCTGAACGACGGTGGACTTGATGGACGAGATGGCCAACGAAAGGCCAGTCAACGTCAGGCCGATTACACCAGCTATGTAAAAAATAAAAAACAATGATGAAATGCATATGTTGACATATGAATAGAATCATATTCACAAATATCATCCTGCGTTCAAATGGACGATGGTGGACGTCAACAGCAACGTTATTGGGCTTGATGTTTTTACGTGAACAACGAGGCAAAAAAAGTTTTATCACGCGTCAAGTATTAACCAAAACCTTCACTCCATGAAGTTCATGAGTCTTTATCCTCTGGTTAGAAGGTATATCATGTGAAACAATTTTATCCTGCTTTCTTTGGAGATTAACACAGACGCTAGCAGTGAATTTTTTCGTCCAGCTTTACACCATCAGAATGTCTTCTCCTGGGTAGAACTGTTTTGAGATACATATGGAGCTCTATCAAATCCATTAACCAAAGCTTCTTTGGATAACCGCTTCAGGGCTCACGACAGGCCTTCACAGCTACAATAGCGAGTTGGCAGTATTCATTACGTCATATGCCATTTTTCCACGCGATCCAGTATTTCAGCTCTCCAAGACGGTGGAAATGAAATTTATCATGGAGAGCAAACAGTATTAAATAAGGGCTGAAATTTTTCCATATGGCCCCATCTTGTTGCATCACCGTCATCATGTCATCGTCCTTATTTGGCCAGGCTCTTCTAAGATGCGCAAAGTGTGCGAGAAACTTGGCAGTGTCAAAGGAACGAGCTGCGCCGCGTCTATTCTGGCAGAAAGGCAGGGTGATCAGAAAGTAGCAACTTGTTGAATTGGCTGACTGACCCCTTGGCATAAGCAATGCTTATGTTTAACGCAAAGAGGAGCCGTTTCTTGTTGGGGCAGCATGTGATGTCAATTGATCCGTTAGCAATGGAAAATTTGGACAGCAATTTCATACGAGAAGTTCACTAACCCCCACCTACTCATAACCGTTTTCGTCGATATTGATCTTATCCATTATCAGTTTGCGTCTGCTTGGTTTCTCTTTCATACCTCTTTACTACGCAATGCCTTCCACATCCAGAGATCCATGTTGTGCCTGCGAACGAAACGATCCGGTTTTGACACTGAATATTTAACTCAAAACCTTATCTTCTACTGGATCGAGTCAAACGCCCTCATTTCTAATGATAATCCCATTTTTGGCTACGTATTCGATCAACTTCAATTTCAGTACTTTGTTTTAGTAATCATATCATGCTCCTGCGTGTAAGAACAAAATATAATGTTCATTGACCATGGATAAGAATCGCTTGTCCCTTCAGACTGCTGGAGAAGTAGTGGCGGAGAACATCGTCAACGTCAGCAAATATCATCTACGTCAAGCGTCTTAACATATGCATGTGAGTTGCTCTGGGCCATATTGGGGTCCTTCGACAATTATTTGAGTGCCATGAATACTGATTATGAATTCTTTTCAAATGCTTTCTGCAAACCTACCAAAGCCATCTAAGTGGCATGTTTTTGACTGTGAGATGTAATGAGTCGATTTAGAGGAACTGCCTCATTGCGGACTTATAAGAATCACATTTTAAACGCTATATCCGCCGGTGTTTCAGCCCGATTGTAATTTCCATTGCCGATTAAAGCTAGGAAGGCCCCTACAGCGAGATAACCTTGATGTGAGATGTATGATGACATGAAATAATTTCGATAATATGTTGGGTGTTATTTCCCGCTGCGTTATGGATAATACTCCTCATCACGCTTTTCAGCGTGATGCAGTCCATATTGCGTTGTAGTCGGCGGTGGCGAGCGCTTACTCGTATTCGACGAGGGCGATGCCCAGAGGGAGCTGCTATTCCCTCGCACCTCAAGGAGTTGAGTAATTCGTTGTTCTGTAGCTCCTTAGGAAACCTCCCTGTTCTTTCGGCTGCTGTTCGTCCAGTCTTGTTGACAGTCCACTGTTGATGATCTTCGTGAACAGCTTATACAAGCTGTGAGAGTAGGCAGTTCGGCGAGAGCTCTTTAGATTTTCCTTTTTGCCCTTCAGACACAGCATGATTGTTTTTGACTCTTTCAGGCTAGGTGTTGTCTTTCCCATTTCGAGGAAGTAACTGAACCTCTCCGGTAGAACCCTCCATGGCCTCTGCTTAAATGCCCTGATTATTTCAATTGTCTGACCATCCCTTTCTTGCATTCAGTTTTCTTCAATTTCCTGTAGGACATGCTGAACTTCGCTTATGAGAATCAGGAGAATCTGTCCTTCTAACCGTTGGAATAATCGTGGTTGGACGCGTGTGCCTGACTGAAACAGCTGTGTGCAAATGCTCTTATAGATAGACCACATTTCAGCTCTGTTCTTCAGCGCTGTAATGATCGATGATCAACCGTTCTCTCCAGCATTGCGTGGGGCTTCTTTAATTTCTGGCATTTTTTCCTAATTCTCGCAATCGGAGCGTCTCGAACTCGTCCGTCAGATTCTGTCTTATGAGTCTACAGAGGAAAGGGCTACTTCACCATGTCGATATCATCTTTTTTCGTCTTCCTCCGTTTTTCTAGCATACCGTAGCCTCTTTTGACATCCTTCCATTCTCCTTCGGCTGACATTACGCAGCGCCTCAGTTTTGCTGAGTCTTCGCGTAGTTGTAATCGCAGCTGCTTCCTTTCAGGCTCCGTTCTCCGTTTGAAATGCGCGCTTGGACCACAGTCAAGAATTAATAGCTATTGATATTTGCAAAATAAAAAATTACCGAAAATTTTGGATAATTTGAGTGCCGTTTTTTCACTCAGTACAGTCGTTGACAAGGAACGATGTATCGGCTTGTAAAAGTCTTCCAGAACAACCGCTGCTAGTGCCGTACTTCCATTGGCAAGAGTGCTGAAATTACTAGTGACTATTAAAAAACGTATACTTGATTCGTATATCAGACACTACCTCATTCCAGCTCCATACAAAGCGCTTACGAATAGGCCTGGAAGACCAACAGCACCTGACAGCTTATCCATTACATAGTGTGTCAGCAACTGATCAGGCTTAGCGATGGCTCCAAATAAAAACGGATCACAGAATCGATAAGAGGCATACACTACCAATCCGCATAATCCCAGTAGGCCAAAACACAGTATATTGATTGGTATATTGAGTAAGACAGCCCTTAACTTCAAATATAATGATTTCAATATGCTTATGTATAAACGTACCATTGTGCGCTTCGCAAAGTTGGCATGGCGAAGTAACGTTGCACACTCATTTGATTGACGGAAAACATTGATCCGATTACAAAGGTTCCTCCGATGACTAAACTCCACACCGAATGGCGAACATGAGGATCAATCCGGAAACTAAATTATTCATAATAAGCTTTTAAAAAGAGTACCTCGAAATGGGCACGAACAGCATATTAAAACTTTACACTACGTTTGTGAACTACATAAGGGCTAAATGAGATTGGCGCAATGGCTAGCCTATGGTAGTCATTGTAAAGATGTAATATCAGATTTCCTGAGAGACCTCTAGTTCAAACAGTAATAAATGCAAAAAACTATTATGCTTGCCCTGATTGGTTAGTAATGCTTTCAAAGATATTAGACCTGTAGCAAATGTCAATATTCATTCAGAAGAATGAATATATTAATGAAGCCTATACATAATTATTATCTTTGAACCTAGAACCATCCAAACTCTGCAAAATGTGATATTTTCTTCACATTTTTTTCTGATATCATGCGCCGTGTAGTGCCTCCCTTCATCTATGACTGATGAACTGTCTTTCTCCATTCTGAAGGAGGCGAAATGGTTAAATTGTTTGAAGTAATCAGATCGTTGCATAAACATGATTCTATGCTCGTACCCAAAGTATATCAAACAGCATTCCTGTTAGACCTGATTTCATGGCGTGTTGCACCGCCTCCATACTTTGAGTGTACTTAAATATTTATGCTGAAGCAAATGAGTAGCAGGTCTTGAACGTCGTTCGTGACGATTTGCAGATGGTTGTAGCGAACAAAATAATATGATACACCTGCAACTACAAGTGCTCAAGTGCCCCGGCTCTGTAGCCAGCTTAAGTAGACCCACTAGGCAACTAGGAGCATGGGAGATGTGCAATACGCTGTGAAATCTGATCTTGAATGAACAATGCGTTATTTGATGCGGTTCATAAAATTCGGTTCATGTTGTCATTTATGGAGCTCATTTCGTTCTTTGGTTCGCTCACTCATTCATCTAATAACAGAATTATTTATTCAGAGGATAAACAATGCGATGATTCATTCTGAAGCATACTTAATAACATTGTACACCATTACATAATTTTCTCTCTCAATGGTAATCTCAAACCAATTCGATGCGACCTACCAATCAGCAAATTTCAGCCAACAGATACTTCTATAAAAGTAGCTTCAGGCACTTCTAAATCGCATTCTAGCTCTCTTCAAGCCTCAAAAGCTGTTAAACGGTAATATTCCATTTTTGCTCAGTAGCTCATAGTTTTCTGTCAGTTTCTTTCTGCAGTACTCTTGCAATGTGGTATTTTACATTTGTTTTACTTGCACCGTATTGCTGATATTTTTCACTTTCACAGATTAATTTTAATTCATCTGTGGATGAGCGCGTGGTGACCCAGGTTTCGTTTTTTTTATCGCTATGATAGAAACTAGGATTTACCAGTGATTCGATTCAAGTTGTATTACATTCAATTATTCGTTCGTTCCTTCTCTCGTTCAATGGTTTGTTCTCATTCATTTATGCATTTACTTGTATACTTAGTAATTCATTTACTTGCTGATTCCTTCAATGGTTCATTCATTCATTTCTCCATTCCTTCGTTCCTCGTTGCTTGAACTGATTCGATCATTCCTTCGTTCTTGACCTCCTCCCCTTTTACTTTTCTACCTCTTGTCATTCCTTCATTTCTTTCGCTCCTGCTTCCTTAATTCTTTCCTTCATTCAGACTTACTTTCGTTCGTTTATTAATAATTAACACGGTATTATGTTAGAGAACCGAACAAGACCTTACTCAGTGAATTGTATTCTGTGACCTGCATATGCGTATTTGATGACGTTCGCCATGCCGTCAACGCTGATTGTTCCAAATATGACGACTGCTAGAATTCCAGCAAACACGAAGACCATCTGCAGCACGCTAGTCCAAACCACTGCAGTGGAGCCGCCCTGTGAAAGTGTACTGTAGTTGCGTGTAAAGTATCAAATTATAATTATGGATCCTGCCCTTACCACGGTCGTGTAAGCAGTCGCTGCTAATCCTGTTGTCAGAATCGCAACATGAATCGACAAACCCGTGACCGAGTTTAGAGCCAAGGCTGGAGCATACAGCGCAACTGGAAGATAGAGCAGCTGAAAGAAAAGAGTGGGTAATTGACTTGTGATTATGGCAGCCAAATGAGAAATGTCGCTTCCTTTGAAAATGATGGCGATATAGATTTAAAATATTCAGCAAACACATTATGATGCATTTCCCCATGTCAACCATCCCAGCAGCCTCAGGGGTGCTATATTTTCGCCCATTTCCAAATATCTTTAGTCCAATGTTTTCCATATTTTCTGTTTCTGTTTAAGTAGAATTCGGGCTCCTGCTTCAGAAGTAAGCCGGTATAATGAAAAGACCTGTCCTGTGTAATTTCTCGATTATTTGGGGTGGTAATCTGCAGCCTTGCTGGGTTGCTAACTTTTAACTCATGTTTGCCTTAAAATTATTAATGATTAGCTCTGCTGAACCCTGTTGCCATTGACTTTTAGCCGACCATCTGAGGGTTCATAAACAGGTTTCCATAGCTGAGGGGTATGCTGCCTTCCTATGGCAGTTTGCCCTACCCTACCATACGTCTCATGCATTGGTCGTTGCCCGTTATCCTTGAATGGAGCGAAATTGGATCATGGAATGTTTGATGATTAAACCGAAGTAAGTAAATGACCTCACCTTCAATGGGTTTTCTGTTCAGCAGATATGTAATTAACTTTTACAAAGCGTGATGAGAAAAAACGAGTACCTTAAGTGGCCATAGGTAATCAAGGATATGTGGTGTTTTAAATGTTTTTCTTTTGCAGCCCTGTATTTCAACAATAGGACTTGCTATGTTATTCGTATTCGAATGAGAAACGTCCACAGTCTATCCCGTCCAACATTCTGGTCATGGGCAAAGTGAGCTATCTCTTGTGTAAAGCTAACGTCCGGAAGACTCTACCCATTCACTGTGAGAGAAGCTTTAGCTTTAGCAGTATGAAGATGGATGAATGACGGACCGATAGTCAACAATGAATGATTTAATGATCTGTATCATGTATCAAGCTGATCTGGAATGTAGCATCAGAAAGAGCCAGAGACCAAATAAAGGAATCGAACCAGTGTCTTAAAGCCCGTTAAACAGTTTAGGCTGTGAATGGTGCTCATTCTGAAACAGAAGCTATTTGCCCTAAGGCATTTGATAGCTCATTACCCAGTGTAATAACCGGCACAATGTATAACCCCACTTTCGAATATAGCAGTGAAATCATAATCCATCGTACTTTGATTTGGCCTCAGCTGCGATGCCATGGTTGCTGTGCTCCTTCAGCGAGGATAAAATTTATAGTGAAAGATCATCACATTAAACGTCGTTTACAAAAAATATCGTTGACTTACCACCTCCATGAAGAAGATAGCAGAACCGATGGTTCTAGCGGTTTTGTTGAAGCGAAGCTCTAAATACTGCAAAAGGCTTCATATTCACCGTATCTTGATCGGTAGCGACTTTACTTCGTAAACACTGGTCAGTTGTAGCGGATAAACTGTCGGGAGGAAAACATATGCGACCAGTGGATAAGTAATTACATACGTTATAAAGTAGTAGAGGAACATTGTGCCATAAACGTAGATCTCAGCCGGGTATCCGAGAACGGAGACGGTGGACAAGTAAGTAGCCACCAGGGTCAGCGCCATTGGCAGAACCCCAAGATTCCTATAAAAAAGAAGAAATATCAAATGCCTTTCATAAGCGAAGCTTGGTTTGAAGTACCAAAAATCAACCAAGGATTCGGTGCCTCCAGGAAGAAAGGTTTGCACTCAGAAACTAGGAGAAAGACATACTAAGAAGCTGGACAGAAGGTCTGTTATCCTGAAAATTGGTAGGTACGAAATTGAACAGTTCTTTCTTTGACACGTTGTCATTTACTTTTTGTTACTTTGTTGTTGATCAGCCTGATAGCGTCCACCTTCTAAATGCTTCTATTGTTGTATTTTATTTTTGTATTTAATATATCCAGGCTTTGGCAGCATATCCTGTACCTTAAAATTCAGTTAAGTGACTGACTGATTGGCTTTTTGTCCCTGTTCTCATTTAACATATTTTTAATGCTTTCCGTTTAAAATGTAATCAACTCGTTTTAAATGATTTAATTTAAATAATTTGTTTTTAATTTAAGTAGGCCAGTTTCTCAAAAGTTTCAGCCCCAAAAGCTTTTGCTGCATTTTCTGATTAAAGTTTTCCGTACAATATACCTGCTGAATTGAAGAAACCGAATCTCCAAGTTCTAGCATGGCGCAGTTCGTAAACGTTAGTCGCCAAGAACACATTGAGGATAATTATTATGACTCAACGAAAATCCGTGTTTACTGTCAAACGATATTTTCTATTATTACTGGTAGGAACAACCGACAAATGTTGCTCTTTGGGGTTACGTGATAAGATCGTATCCACAGTTACAGCTAGACGTATGGCGAGTCGTTTAAACAAGCCAGGGCTCAATTGTGCCCCTGCATACATAAATCAAAAATGCATCACCAACGAAACGTGAAAAACCTAACACTGCATACATAATGGCAATATTCATCACCACCAAAATTGTGCCATGAAACTATTGCTCCATGATTCTTATACACTTCACTTAAACAAATTTCTTACCCTCATTCTGCCATTGACCCTCAGGTCTACCCGCAGACAGCTTACTGTACTTTGAAACCCAGTCGAATACTATACATTCCAAAAAAGGTCGGTTTTTCTTGTAACGTTTTCTGCCGAGTTGGACTTTTTACGTTTGCAAGGACATCGATGATTATCATTCGTTTGTCTTACCATATTTTGTCGTCAAGTTGCAAAATGACGAAATACATGCACAACGTTATTATGTCCCAACGGTTCTTACTGTTTACAACTATACGAATGAACAGTACTTTCAAACTCAGTCACGTGAGCAAGCAGCTGATGAGCACTTTCTTTAAAGGTAAACAGTACATCTGTAGATCAGTAGAGTAGTCAGAAAGTTGGTAGCAAACTTTCGAAGTAACTTATCCTTAGAGAGTGCATCATGGCCACAGCCTGCTTCATTACCTGTGACCAAGGAGGAGTTCACGACTCGTAGTTTGAACGTTGCGTCGAAGGCCAGAGGCGATGCCCAAAACGACTGGCAAACCGAGGAACAACGCGAACAGAACATAGTCGATGACGGTGAAGTACTTTCTGACTTCCATCACCAGCCGGGCGGACTTGGACAAGAGTCAGAGGCAGCGGTTTTCGATCGTCCTTGAAGTCGCTACCCCTTGGGCTGGATTCGAGCAGTCGCACGACAACAAACGCGTGCTCTCAATCAGTACTTCTGGCAATCATCGCTTCTGGCTTTACCGTATGAGTGGTTTCCGTGACCGGACTACAGAAACCGGTTCACGGTGAAGGCAGCCATTTGCTTGAACGCTGGCGGCGTAACTGATGCGTTGTTCCCGTGCTGATCACGTTATTCCAGAAAGTTCTCCGGTGTCAATGGTGAATCAAAAAACTCGCAAAAAACCTTAATCCCATCGTCAAACGTTCAGCCAAAACGATAAAGGACGCGCTGTTTCGCTCTGAAGTCGGAAGGCTTGTCAATGCGAACCTGAGATACCAAGGTGACAGCGCGTTTGTCATCGTATGTCCAGCAGCGACCCGCCATAGCCGCTAATAACTGCGATTCTGTGGAGCAAACACTGGCAACCTATTCAACGTAACAATGGCAAAATGACACACATGACAGGGGCTAGGAACCGCCATTCGGCTTTATGTATGCAGTCAGACAACGTCCATCTTCACTTTCCAAGGGTGAGGACGATTTTTCGAACTTCGGTAACTCCTTTCTTGTCGTTCTTCGGTTTTCCTTCTCGCTTCTTTCCTGGCATCATCAGTACTTGGACCAGATTTCCAACGCATTTGTACCTATCTTTTTATCACGTGACCGCACTAATGGAGTTGGTTTCAATCAGCTCTTCTGGTACTACGCTTAAAATGCCTTTCTAGAAGCTGTTGCAGATATGATCATTTTTGCTGACACTAAGCACCCATCTGAACATTCGCATTTCTATGGAGTTTAACGTTGCTCATTCTCATCAGGGTATTGAGGCACTGCGTTCCGGTCAGTTTAACCCGTTTTACTATCGTTCTGAACACCATCCCTTCGGTTTGATGGGCGTTTACTAATCACACAATGCGTCGAACAACGTTCATCCGATTTGAGCCAGACGTTTTTCAATCGATCCCTGAATTCACTGTCAGTTTCCCTATTGCAGGATTTCAGGCAGTATGTTTCCTTCTACTTTCACTGATTCTTTGGCTCTCCCTCTGCTCTTTCCCCTCAAATAATCCGCAATGAATCCCAATTTGACTTTAATGAACGAAAAGCTGTTTCTCTCAACGACTCTTCTCCATGCCTCAGATTTTTCTTCAATTGATTCTTTGTTTTCACTGTCAAGCACCATTTCACTTGCATGGAGCATGCAGCATGGGGATGCTTCCTTCGGATCTCAAGTTATCGTGTCTGCTGTTAGCTTTATTTAAACAACTAATAATTTAAATTACAATCGAGTCTTAATTCTTTGCAATAAGTCAGACGAGAAAATAAGCATATTAATAATTAAATAAGCGTCCATCTCTTCGCTAAGCTGTTCAGCAACCGATAGCCGATCTATTCATCTGAGATCTGTTTGTTCATTTGATCTGTAGATAATTCATCGAAGAGCTCTTCATTCCAGTTTACACACTTCGTTCGCCCCTTCAGCCGTTTACTCATTCATTCTGTCGTTAATTCACTCCTTCATTCGCTGCAATTCCTTCACCTGCCTGATAGTTGCCTATTGAATGTGATAATCAGCAGAAGTCGTAACCCTTTGTTTGTCGTTCTGTTCACTCCCTTGCTGATTCTGCATTCATTCTTTAATTTATTCATTCATCTTTACACTCATTCATTCCTTCACACATTCGTTCGTTCATTTATTTCTTCGTTTATACACTGATTCTATATTTCATTCTTCCTTCTTTCCTTCCTTCTTTTCTTTTCACAACCCGTCATTCACCAGGATTTCAGAAAAGGGTGAATCGTCATCATCCATCAATTTACACAGTAACTTAAATCTTTCGAACGAACGCAATCCCGTCCAGGTAGTCGTTAAGCCCTATAACTCAGATTTGGTAACATGAGGCTTCAAAATCAAAATACACTAGACTGACCAGATTCCTGTGAGCATTCCTTACTGCATATGATGATTTGGTACTGCTGGGGTTCTTGCATAGAATCACGCATAATGTAATTGCGTTATATACAGATGTGAAATCGCCGAAATCTACCAATATCTATCAATTACATTTGTACCAACTGCTGTAGATTTGCATACATAGTGGTTTGTTTCAAAAATCCAGAAACGTTTTCAAATACTGCGATTGTCATTGAACACTTTTGTTAGAATACTTCTGAAATTGCCGTATTGTGAAGTTTATTGAAGCTATCACACCAGTTTTGAAATAAACAAATTTCTGCCGCTTTTATTTGGGATCACTGACAGTATTGACAATAATTATAAATGACTAAACATAAAGAACGATTTCTCGGATTCGTGAGAAATAAATCGAAATCAGAGTTACACTTTATGATTATTATACAGGATTATTAAACTCATGATTACAATGGATAATCAGCTATCAATTGGTCAAGGTTAATGCAGCTACGTGGAGCGCTTGCATCGGACGACATGGCCGCAAAACTCGTCCATTATGGCCTGACCAGACCAAAATACCATTCTGTGCATACTTTTTCGCAAGTCACCAACTTACCACCCTTTTATCGACTGATGGCAACGAAGAAATACGGAGTTAATTTCATGCTCAAGGGAATTCGCTATAAAGATAAAGGATGTTCCCTCAGTGGAGTAGAACAGGCTCCTGGAGTTCACAGCCGGCCTCTCCAAGCAAAATTTGGTGCATCCATCATCCGTCCCACTGTGCACAAATAATTACCTATCGAGAATTCCATTTATGAGCTTTGGTTCTTCAGAAAATTTTAACTCTCTTTCGAGTACAATTCATCACACTCTATCGTAAGACTTGAGGTGAGTACCACCGTTTGATCGAAGTTTCAAAAATTCGAACACCGTGAACTCGAACGTTCGACAGAACTGGGAATCAACTTTTTTGACTACGCCTCGCCGTTGTAAGTTTTGATTATTAAAAGCTGCTTTTTGCTAATTTCATATTCAATTAACATCAATCTCGCCAATTTTCCTGCGAAATCTTGCGATTATTGATCGCGCCATCGTTTGTTTTGCATCTTTACTGTAAAGAAATTAGAAGAACTGAGAAAGAGAACGGCTGACTCATCAGTCATTCTCGGCATTTGCATTGTGAGTGGTCAATAAAGATATGTTTTTCGACCGTGACACGCAAGATCTTGAGACCCTGTTGCCAAGTAAACATTGGTTAGACACTACTTAACACTGATAGCGCCAAGATCCAGAAGGTACTTTGTGAAGGCAACGTTGTGAACACGATAGTAACTGCATGCGGTGAGGCCGATGCCTCTCTTAATTGCTGTTGTGGATGATGTTCAGAGAGTAGATGTACAAATCGTCAAGAATCTAGGGATCATCGGTGCATGGTTTATCATCTAATGGGAAAGCACGAAATACATTCCCAAGGTCAAATTTTAGAGCCGCGTTGGAAACAACCATGTTTTTGCATTTGTTGACCACAGTGAAGTATAGAAAAAGCTCAAACAGACCGTTACCTTGGCTTAATCATAAGCTTAGCATTACAAAGCGTGCTTGACTCGTCAGCTGCTCAAGTGAGAGGCGAAAACAGCCAAAGAATGAACACTGGCCGAAGAAAGAACAACGAAACTAAGCAGATATCTGTAATCGAAAAGAAATGTTTCATTTGTCGATGCGGGGAACAGCTAACATTGTCAAAACATGAGCATTTAGACGACTGCATATCACCAATCGTAAGATGCCTGCAGTTTTGCAATGCGATAAAAATAATTTTGACGGATTGCTAAGAGCGATCCTACTTTCCAAGCGTTGGTAA